AGATCGATGAGGGTTACGTCGTGATTTATCATATAGTACTCTCTTTCGAACTCACTATATGAGTCAGGAAGCGATTGAAGAAGCTAGTCAACAACCGGCTTCTTACAGACAACGACTCCCAACATTCTTAACCTATCAATGTGTGACTTGATCTCTAAGACGTGTGTACACACTGAGTTTCCTTCTTCATGTTTACTTGCTAAAAGGGATTGAGTGAGCTTGAACTTTTCGAGCGTTTGAACTTGTGGGTTAAGGAGAAAAATAGGAGGATGTGGAGGAAGTGAATCATGATCTCTTGTTCCTTGATCGAATCATTAAATATTATCTTCATGTGGAAAGCTTGTTCCAAGGGATTTGGGAAGACCATAGTTGTCATACTTTGACATCTAAAAAATGGGAGAAAATTCAAGTTAGTTGATTGATTGATTGAGTCCTTAATAAAACACCCAAATGAGATATTAAGGCTAGGACCCAACACAATATTCTACAACTTGGAAGAGGGATGCCGTAATCCAAATTGCAGAACATTTGAAGGTAAGTGAATGACAATTCACTAATTTTCCACCATGAAAAATGAAAAAGAGATTAAGTTTTAAATGTATTGAAAACTCCTAGATTCTTTGAGATTCATTGAACTTTTCAATGGCATGTTTAAATCTCGATATGCCCCTCATTTTGTAATTGAGATGTTGAGGATCACAAAACAGGGTGTGAATAACCATGCACATATACATGGTGCCCCCAATATTATAGTCACCTATTTGATGTGCCGGTTAACCACACATGCTCCATCGAACTATGAAAAACATCGAGTCACCCTTTGCCACCTTTGCTTAGAACCCATTTAGTGTGCCGGTTAACCACACACACTCCACTAACGTCTTAGCAAGGGTACAAAGTTTAATTTCATGGAATTGCATCAAATTCACTTTTGCCTAAAGTAACTAAGATTAGGAATTTTGTAAAAACATTTAGTTACTTTATAATTCATTATACTTTTAATGGAAAGGGTTTTCCCTATCCTACCTGTTCGGCTAACGACCCTCCACCAATCAAGGAAGCGGTGGGTGAGAGTGGACACCCATTAACCTTATACCCCCTCATAGATAGGCTTCGTGAATGAGGTCTACTAACGGTAAGACTAACATTTAATTTATACATATATAATATTAGACATTTTAATTTTATATATAGTATAAGAGTGTATTTTACACTTTTAAAATATTATGTGGTCTAATTTAATAAATTACACTTTTAATTTAATTAAATGTAAACCATACCACTATGGATTTATTAAATCTCTTTTAATTATACACTTAATTAATTTAATAAAACCATAAGGGTGCAATATGAACTTTTCAAAACTTAGGGTTTTAGAATTTAACATTTTAAAATCAAACTTTTAATTAAAATTTAAATTCCAAAACTTGAGGGCAAGTTTTGAAACCTTTCAAAACAATTAGGTTTAACTATTTAAACTTCAAAACTAAATCTATTAAGTTCAAATTTAAACTATAAAGCTTAAGGGTGTAAAATGAAACTTTTCAATGTAACTAGGTTGAATATTTGACTTATAATAATCCTATATTATCCATATTTAACCAAATCCATCAATTTTGATGAATAATATCATTCAAAACTTAAAAAATCAGATTTAGGCAAGAAAAACGAGTTTTGGCAATTATCCTCAACAAAATCTGGTAGAAAAATCGAAAATCCCGGCATCAGAACAGGAAACTCGTCGAATTGGGCTTTGAACTTGTCGAGTTCATATAGAACTCGCTGAGTTCATGCTCGAGACAACAAAAAATTTTGATTTGCTAATCTTTTACTGTTCACAATTGCATCAATTCATTATACAAACAGCCTAGGCTCTGATACCATTGATGGGTTATGAGCACTACACCATTCCTATGGTGTACATGCAAACCCTAAAGCTGTGGATCTAGTTTGGCTAATGAACATGCAATGATCACCCAAAGCTCATAAACCCTAGATCTAGCATATGTATATCGAAATTAACATGTAAGCACAGATCTAGATGAATGCCTCTTATAGAATGGCTTGAATCTCGTATCCTTGGAGCTTACTGTAGGGATGAGCATGGGTCGGTTTGGATCGGTTTTTGGCTAAAATCAAACCAAACCGTAGAACGTCGATTTTCAGTTTTTAAACCCATATAGGTTTGGTTTTTTGCATGGTTCGGTTTTTCGGGTTGGATTTAAGGGTTTTCGGTTTTAAACCGTGCGTTTATGAGCTCCTTTTTTTTTTCTTGTTTTTTGGTTCAAACCTAGTGAAATTATGATGTGATAAATAGTATTGTATCTACTTTAATTATACTAAAATAAATAGTACAGATTCTAGTCTTCTAAAAACATAAAAGTGTTCAAAAGATCAAAGTTTAACACCATTAACAGTTTTATTGAAAATAAACATAAAGTAGTAAAGGGATAAAGTCTAAAGTCTAAAACTAATAGTTTAAAAGATAATAAATAATATATATGTGGGTCGGTTTAGTTTTTATGGGCAGTTTTATATGTTAAAACCGAACCAAATAGTTATTTTTCAGTTTTTGTAAAATTCAAACCTAAACCGTTGGTTATTGCTTTGGTTTGAGTTTTTCGGTTTCGGTTATGTTGGTGTTTTTCTATTTTTTGGTTTTCGGTTTGGTTTTTGCTCATCCCCAGAGCTTAGAGTCACAAATGTCACTCCTCTAATGGTTTACAAACACCACAAGCAAGAGGATGATATTGGAAAGAGGAGAGAAGCACAAAACCGTCCAAGATCTCTACCAGAAAGCTTAGCCACGTTTTTGGGATCCCTAGGGGTCTATTTATACTTGTGTGGGCTGCTAGGATTTCAGGAGAAACCCTAATTCTCTGCTTAAGCCTTAAGCAACCCATGGAACCTTTTTCAAAGGCCCTTGGATGAAAATCTTATGGGCTTCCCATAGATTTTGTCCAACTCCCTTCCCTTTAGGAATCCATAGCCCATAATGTAATTATCTTATAATTACAATATTAGTCCCCCAAGTCTAACTAATCTCTTTTAGCCACATAATTAATTTCTTAATTAATTCTTGTCCAATATTAATTAAATTCTATGATTTATTTATTAATATATTATTCATATAATATATTAATAAACCATAATGAACCTCTTTCTTCATAAATCATCCTATCTAGTAGCTTTGATGAAGGCAACCCAAAAGGACCATGCCAATCGGGTCAAATACTTACCAAATATAGTTACGGGCTTAGGCACCAATCCAACAAGAACCGCCTCATGGTCTTAACTACCTACCATGGGAACCCCCGCATGGTCTTAACTAACTACCATGGGAACCCCTACATGGTCTTAACTAATCAATATAAATGTCATACAAACCATATAAGCCATAAATACAAACATATAAAGGTGCCATGGAAGCCCTCTAAGGTCATACACCGGGTGCCGTGGGAACCCCCACATGGTCTTAGCTACATGGTCATATATCCAATTGCCTTGGGAACCCCCCCCCCCTTCCGGGTCTTCCATGAAAGTGTCATAGAGAAACCTAGCATACCGCATACCACACAATCAACTAGCATACCACATATAACTAATTGCCATAGGAACCCCAACATGCTCTTCACATAAATACATAATGTATCGATAGAACATCCGCAATAATCATCACAACTAGATAAATGGGTTGGCCGTGGTGCCTTCGACCCACTGGTATGGTGAGGAGACTCACCTTACACTGCTGAAGTCCCGTGGATAAAACTCTAGTTGCTGGATGACAAACTCTGGCACTATCCATATAAAAACAACACCCAATTAACCATATGGGTTTCAATGTATAATCATCAATCCACACTTGGGGTAAAAGGACCATTTTACCCCCTAACCTAACTTGTTTCAAAACCAAGGCCCAAACTCACACTCTGAAGGCCCAAAAGCCAAATTATCAACCAAGGCCCAACATATGGAAAGGTGGGCCCAAACCTCTACATGGTCTTACCTTAAGTCCCAACCATTTATTCTAGTCCAAACACTTAGCATTCCAATGGTCCAATATCTCATAATCATTAAGGCCCAATTATGGCCCACTTTTTAGATTGTGCCCAATCCTTTCTAATGGGCCTTATCCTAAAGCCCAATAATTTCATTAGTCCATAAACTCGATCCCAATTAGCCCACGAAGGCCCACATCAACTTAGTCCAAGAAATGGCCCAACAAGAACCCAAACCTAATTAGTGTTTTTCAGATAAAATGATGATTAGGGTTAAGTGTTTTTACTTAACCCATTAAGTATTTAATCCATTAGTCCATCAACCCAGTAGGCCAAACATACAATGTAATCGAACATAAGTCATAACATCAATCCAATGGTCTAAGACACGAGTCCCAACAATTCCAACTAACGTATCCAAAATTAGGGTTTTCTAAACTCTAATTAAGGTTTCCAACCCAATCGCATTCCAATTAGTCTATTGGTTAGGTTTTTAGGTCAATTTGTATTAAATACGTCAGGCACCACACACTACCACCTCGAGTAGTGGCAGCTCATGGCGACGACCACCACCTCGTGGTGCTGGTTATGATTCTAGACCAGAACATGTCCAAGCATCTCAAATAGAAATCCAAGAAAACATAAATGCACACCGCCACCCAACACATCGGCTGGTGGCGGCAGATGGCGGTAGCCACCACCTTATGGTGGTGGTGGTGCGTTTTCTTTGGATTTTCCGGCCAAACAAATACAATATATAACATATTATCTAAAAAGAAACACACACAATATAACACACATACAAAACCACCCTTGTGGCGGTAGGCGGTGGTCGGAGTTGATAGCCACCACCTCACGGTGGTGGTGGTTCTCTTTTGATTCCCGATCACGCAACACACACACACACACATCCTTGGTCGAGGTATGAAGACAACCACCCACCTGGTGGCGTACGACGATGACAACAACACGAACGACAACGACCCTTACTGAAACGACGTCCTAACCTTGGTTTTCGTCTTCAGCCATAGCAGGAACGGCGGCAACAGAGATAACCCGGTGGTTTCCAACTTCGACAACGATGGTGGCGGATGGAAGGTCACGAGTAGTGACAACCACGATGTCAAATGCTTCTCCGATCTCCAACTGCTGCAACTCCATTCCCGGTTTCCCGTCGGTCTTCGTTATCGCCGAGAACAAGAGCCATCGGTGGGCGTTCGATGGTGCTAAGTGGTCGGAGCTAATAGCGGCGGCTGGAGGTAGGGGAAAGAAGGTGGCAGATGTATGAAGAATAGGGTTACGGTTGTTTGGAGAAGGTGACAGCTTTATACCCGCTCATGGAAGTCTTTGCTCATAATACACTTTCAGCCACTCCATGTCAATTCTTTTCAACTTAAGTACATAATTTACCATTCAACCCTCAACATTCCGAAATCCCTTCAATTTAAGTCCAATATTTTAACAAACACCCCTTGACTTCTGAAAATCTTTACAAAATAAATCCCGTAATTACACTTTAACCCCCTAAAATCCAAATTATATCATTTGGTTACCCGAAACCAACACCCCGCTAAATATTATGGATTTTAGGGCTACTATAAAATAATATAAAATATAAATTTACATATTGGGGTTCAGGGTTGATTATTTAATTACTCAATTTAAAACGGGATGTTACAACTCTCCCGCCTTTAAAATACATTTCGTCCTCGAAATCATTCCTTCCACTCCTGCACACCAAAAAACTTGAGCAACACGGCCACAACCACAAGCATACCCCCAACCTTTCCAAGGCAACCAAAACCAACCATCGTTGGGTTCTAAAACCTGAAGATGAATGAATTCCTTGTAACATGATCGCATTTACTCAATCTAAAATCTGAAGTCTCGAGATGGTCTGTCTCCCTGACAGACCGCCCACACTGAATCATTGCCGAATTCATTGTTCTTATCTACCAAATGGCTAATCTACTTCTGATAATTTGAGATTTCCACTAGAAAATAGAGTCACAGACCAAACTTCCCTGTAATACACTTATACCTAACAGAAGCTCAGATAATCCTTTGAGTAGGAGAGTTATCCCTGTAACGGTTAGACTCAGACGAGAGCTGTGCAACAGGGTCAAATCAACCACTTTGAGATTATTTAATCCAACTACAAACAACTTAGTGTGTACCACGAATACAAGCAACTCCACACACGAATCCCAAGTCACTGAACCCAATTTGACTCTTATTGCTACCACTTACTGCTTTTCAGAAGCAGCCGGGACTTCTCAAATCCCACATTGTCTGTCAACTACTCGAAACACCGAACACCTAACCGATTGTTGGGACAAAAACACTCTCAGCAGTCCCACGTGAACTCCGAAGGTTACCTCGTCTGACAATAACCGCCCTATCTATACCGCCACTCATGGCTCCTTAAATCCTTTGATCTATCCGATCATGATAGGTTGTCAACCTGGCGCCACTGAATCCGGCGCAAAAAGGTGAATGCTACTAGAATAATTGTAGTCTTACATCATACCCGGTCTCCTTTGACCTACTGTTTCCTGATTCCTATTATGCTGTGACCTACTCACAATCTTGCGAACTGGCCCACCTTGGCCTAATCATCTGTAAGAATCTGTGAATGCTACGGGTCATCTCGCAGTCTCACAACACTTCCCACATTATCTAGTTGCTAGTGAATGCTACAACTACTGCGCAGTCTTACAACACCTCACATACTATCTGACTACTAGTGAATGCTACAACTACCCTGCAGTCTTACAACACCTCCCACACTATCTGACTACTAGTGAATGCTACAGTTACCCCACGTCTTACAACACCTCCCACACTATCTGACTACTAGTAATTGCTACGGCTACCCCATAGTCTTACAACACTTTCAAACTATCTGACTACTAGTGAATGCTACGGCTACCCCGCAGTCTTACAACACTTTCACCCTAACCGATTACTAGTTAATGCTACGTCTCCCTCGTAGTCTTACAACACTTTCACCCCAACTAGATACTAGTGAGTGCTACGGCTCCCCCGTAGTCTTACAACACTTTCACCCAGTCACAATCGCAACGCCCTAATCTATCAATACGAACACTCCTAGACTTAAGCATGAAATCGGCCAAACACCACAGGCTGAACTCGAGCTATGTCTGGGACCCCGACTTGGTTCCCCGAAGCCTGCTATCAATCACCAAGGGAACACGATCTCAATGTTGTGGAGTCTCCCAAGCTCCCACTCACATGACCTCCAATCAAAACAGCCACTTGGGCTGCCTTCCTCCTTGATGGGGATGCAAAACTCATGCTAGTTTCAACCACTCCCGCCTTTGAATCCCGGGATGATTCTCCCCCACTTTGAATCAACTAAATTCTCAAAGCACATGAAAATTGAAGGATTCTAAATCCTTCTTACCTTACAACGATGGATCCAATGATAACTAGCGCTTACCAACTAATGCTCCATCACTAGCCATTGCCCTAAAGACTATACGACTTCTAAAGACCAGATGAACACTTAACGAATCCCAGTGAAACCGATAGCCCCTGATGTTTGAAATGATACCACACACAAATCTTGAATATCCAAAGGCAAATGCTCCAACCAATACCTCAACAACGAGCCACTTCCCTTGGCGCTTTCATCCGCCAATCAATAACGATTACTAAAACCACCGAATCCTGAAAATGTTGAATAACCATCCTACGGGACCCTGTCCCAGACCTCCAACATAATATCCCTGAACCGATTTTAGCCATAAACCAAGATAATACTGAACACTCCCAACCCACAAATAGGGAAATGACCTTTCGTTAACCACTAATAATTCACGGCATGCAAATGGAATATGTCATCACTTGAAGATATAACCCAAACACAAGCAGGGAAACAAACCCAGAGATACACTTACCCAAACCCTTAGAACGAATAAATCCATCGTGCGGTTTTGCGGAAAGTGCTGCACTAAATCCGGCCCTGCTAGCCTCTCGAAAGCTGATACGAAATCTTAGGTCTCTTCCCGGGACCCTCCAGTATATGCACCTGATCTAGTCCCCTCTTCCCAATGTGCTCCAAATTAGTATCCATCTCTCAGGCTCTAGAAATCATATCATTCATGGTTTCGCACCCCGACACACTCACCAGCTCAGTCGTCCACAACTGAACTGCAGTAGCTGAAGCAACCTTTTCCCAAAACCGAACTACAAACTACTCCCAAGACATAATCTCCAATCCCAAAAGTGCAATAGATCGCACAATCAATCCTTGCCACCCGATACAAGAGATCCAAGGCGAACTGAACCCTAGCTCCCAAGGTATAGGAGCTAGTGCGGAAAACACCTTCCATCCCTTAGTCCAACGCGAACTCAAATCCCAGGGCATTCCTTCCATTAACTGGCTCACCACCAGAGTCGGGACCAAACCCTGGTCCTTCCCCATGCGTGCTCATCCTCATCCTGTAAAGCAGTTATTCCCACAGTCCAAGTGTAACCAAGAATTCTCCTTCTCGTAAGCCTCCTATATTCTCCAAGACTCTCACCGATTTGAGTATGGATCGTGTACTTTCAGTAGTACGGACCCAATACTACCTTCCACAGCTATCCATACTTTCCTCAGCAATCCTCCTAAATCCTCTAAGTCACTTCTTCCACTAATGCACCAAATATCCGCTAAACAACAACACGATACCCACCGAAGAAACTCCTAGGCTTCCAACCTCACTGAACCGCCCCACTAACTCACTGGAGCATATCCTAGGCTTTCTTAGGTTCCCAACCTTGCCCTGCCATTAGCTGTTGAAGAACTCCTCATGATGCTAGCCATCCACCTCTTGAATATTGTCATATTCACTTAGTGGATAACTCTCATCATTCAAGAGTTCCACAAAGCACAAAGCACAAAGCAAGCAGCATTCGTGCAGTAGCACTCCGATCCAAAGAACTATCATAGGACATTCACCCCACATGCCACAACTCATGGTATCCATATCCACCCTCACAGCCGGCTTCCTTATGCATGCAAATTATACACATAACAGGATCTAATAGACTGTCGAATGATAGACTCTGCCCACCACAACCAGACAAGTAACAGGAAATAAGGCCAAATCAGTTATTCTAAGGCTATAAGATCCTAACCGTATATAATTTTTTAAAGCATACACTTAGAAGTTACTAATAATGATAATCATTCCCATTCCAGCATAGCATCTAGTATCCCCAAGGCCGCAAGCATCACATATCAGGGTAATCTATCATCGACTAATCAGCACTAGCATGCAAGTCTACCGGCTCATAAAACATACATACAAAGGCATCTCTCCTAGCCTTAACTAGCATGCGATTCACAGTTTCATAAATCAAGTCATAACAGATAACATATATGGGTATTATGGGGAAAACTTACTTGAGCTCGACCGATTGCATGCACCACACCCTTTCTTGTCTTAGAAAACTCTTTCCTTGAAAACATTTTTCTTTTGAAAACTTAACAGATCCTCAATTTGAGTTTAGACATAACCGAAAGCATGTCCGAATCCCTCAAACCAAGGCTCTGATACCAACTTGTAACAACCCAAAAATCAAGGGTAAAAATTTTATTTTTATTGTAGTCAAAATGCAAATATCTTCTAAATCCAAGCATCCAAAAAACATTGCTAATTAAAATAAATTATCAGAGTTCGTCCCAAAATCACATATTGCGGAAATACGGGTGTGTGCGTCGCGATCAAGCCGGGCCCTTCCTTTCCAAACCAAGGATACCTAAAACCATAAACAAAACTGTAAGCACAAATCTCAGTGAGTTCCCCAGAGCATACGCCACATAATCCACATAATCACATAAACCATATCGGCCATATAAGCTACATAAGCTACATAAGCCATGCATGCAATCATATAAGGAATCCGTGGAAACCCTCCAAGGTCTTACTCCGGGTTCCATTGGAACCCCCTCATGGTCTTAGCCCACTACCATGGGAACCCCCTCATGGTCTTAACTACCTGCCATGGGAACCCCCACATGGTCTTAGCTAACTGCCATGGGAACCCCCGCATGGTCTTAATTAGTCAACATAAATGCCATACAAACCATATAAGCCATACATACAAACATATAAAGGTGCCATGAAACCTCTCCAAGGTCTTACGTCGAGTGTCATGGGAACCCCCGCATGGTCTTAGCCTGGAATGCCATGGGAACCCCCTAAATGGTCTTATATCCAATTGCCTTGGGAACCCCCGGGGTCTTCCATGAAAGTATCACAAAGACAACAAGCATACCGCATACCACACAATCAACTCGCATACCACATATAACTAACTACCATGGGAATCCCCACATGGTCTTCACATAAATACATAATGTATCGATAGAAAATCCGCAATAATCATCACAACTAGATAAATGGGCCAACCTAAGTGACTTTAACCCATTGGTAAGGTGAGGAGACTCACCTCGCACTGCTGAAGTCCCGCGGATAAAAATCTAGTTACTGGATGACAGACTCCCGCACTGTCCATATCAAAACAACACCCAATTAACCATTTAGATTTCAATGCATAACCGGCAATCCATACTTGGGGTAAAATGACCATTTTACCCCTAACCTAGCTTGGTTCAAAACCAAGGACCAAACTCACACTCTGAAGGCCCAAAAGCCAAATAATCAACCAAGGCCCAACATATGGAAAATTAGGCCCAAACTTCTACATGGTCTTACCTTAAGGCCCAACCATTTATTCTAGTCCAAACACTTGGCATTCCGATGGTCTAATATCTCATAATCATCAAGGCCCAATTATGGCCCACCTATGACCCAATTTTCAAAATTGGTCCCTATACTTTCCAATGGGCCTTTTCCTAAAGCCCAATAATTTCCTTAGTCCATAAACATGTTCCCAATTAACCCATGAAGGCTCACAACAACTTAGTCCAAGAAATGGCCCAACAAGAACCCAAACCTAGTTAGGGGTTTTCACATAAAATGACGATTAGGGTTAAGTGTTCTTACTTAACCCATTGAGGACTTAATCCATTAAGTCCACCATCCATTAGGCCAAACATACAATATAATCAGGTATAAGTCATAATGTCAATATAATGATCCAAGACGCGGGTATCGACAATTCCAAACTAACATATCCAAAATTAGGGTTTTCTAAACCCTAATTAGGGTTTCCAACCCAATCGCATGCCAATTAGTCCATTGGTTAAGTTTTTAGGTCAATTTGTGTTAAATAAGTTAGGCACCACCCACTATCACCTCAGGTAGTGGTGGCTCACAGCAACAGATCATGGCAGCGGCCACCACCTCGTGGTGGTAGTGGTGATGATTCTAGACCAAAACATGTCCAAGCATATCAAATATCAATCCAAAAGCACATAAATACACACCGACACCCGACATGGCGGTTGGTGGTGGCAGAAGGCGACAACCACCACCTCACAGTGATGGTGGTGGGTTTTCTTCGGATTTCTATCACACCCCCGAACCAAACGGCGGAAACGTCTGGGGGCTTGAGTGAGTTCATTCTTGTAGTATTATCACAGTGTATATAATTGAAACAAAACATCATCATCATCACAGATGCAATATTACAACTGTCATTGTTTACATCAAGTATTGTATTTCAATATTGCATGCCCAAATATCCAAAGTACGGTGATAACAAAACACAACGAAATATCCAGGTATTCTTGCTGACCAGTCTGCTCAACGATTTCCTGAGAATACAAGTTAATTTTAAAAGGTCAACATATATAATGTTGGTCAGTTCATAAGCATGTTTGAGAAAAAAAATTTGTATTACTTTGTAAACACAAGAAAATCCGATATTTTCTGAAAAACGCTTTGAAATGTTTGTGTCTGATCTTGTATTAATGCATGTGTGTTAATGTTTGTAGGAGTATAACGTGAATGATCCCAGACAACCCGATGTTGTCAGTTTATGAAAACATTGTGATCTCAACACCCTAGGCTGAGTACCAGTGCATGTATGTTACTGTGTCATTAACAAAAATTGCGTTCCGTAAATTTTATAATGGTGTTAATTCCTCTAAGTGAATCGTTATAACCATACTTGATAATGACAATTCCAACCATCATGACGTTTTTCAGACGCCAACTTGTTTAAGGTAATGTTTGTCACCCTAGACTGACTTTGTCTAACTGTAGCGAACAACTTAGGTGTGAGGTGTCACCTCCGTATAGATCTATACACAAATTCCCGCTCTCCCTCCAGAAGACTATGGTTATAACTACAGGCTATGGTTGTACACTCGATAGGTGCCAAACGAAGAGTCTCACAAGATCCTTAACTAAATTTACGCGAATATGAAATTACAGTGTATATTGTTTCCGTGTAAGTATTTAGTTTTCAAAACCCAACGAGTACGTATGTGAATGTGTGAAGTCAACAAGCATGTAGATGGACCACGAATGTCCAATAAACATGTAAGGTATATTTCAGACCCAATAAACATTTAAATGACGTAATTGATCCGTTGTTGTTATATTTGTTGTTAAGTTTAGTTGTTTACCAAAATGACATAAAAGGCCCAATGTATGTAAAAATATATTTTTGGTCCTTAAAACCGAAAATTTACAATTAAGGCACATTTTTTAGTAAAAATGACACTTTAGGTCCTTTAAAACCAAAACTTTACATTTAAGGGCTTGATTCGCGTGAAATAACATTTTTAACCCCACTTTTGTCAAAAATAACACTTTTGGCCTCAATTTTATGAAAATTGACATTCTCGGCACAATTATGAAGAAATTTATCTTTTTTGCCCAAGATTTAATAAATCTACATTTTCAGCCCTTTTTAACTGAAAATTTACATTTTGGCTCATATTTGTCTAAAATGACACTTAAGTCCACAAAATCCCAAAAATTTCAAATTTAGCCCAAAACCGTGAAAGCCTAAAATGAGGCCCGATTGTGAAAGTTTACACTTTTAGCGCTTACAAAATCATAAATACTATAAGGATCCATATTTACTCAAATAAATCCTTTCAAAACCGTGAGTTATGCTTACTAACTTCACTTTTTGATTATTTTGTCATTTTAGCCCTCTTATGTAATTTTCTTAGTTTTAAAACTTTTCTTTGCATAATATGTTGTATCAAGTGTTATGTCCACAAATATCATCATATTCTTGTATATTTTCGAGTTCATGAAGTTTATCATAATCACACTTATATCATGAAAACATGCAAAATCATGCATATACGCATAGATCTACACAAAAAAAACTTGTATTCTCCTCCAAAACATATTGAAAACCGAAAATAGTGGCCCAAAATTGTTAAGCAAAGGGGTTTACGACCCATAAAGGTCCATGAGAATGAAGTGGGTCATTTGAGGTCCAATAAGGCCCATAAAAGTGAAGTGAAATATTTTAGGCCCAACATGACCCAAAAGGTTATAGTTTCATGAAAGTGGGTCCAATTATAACCCAAATAACCAGGTTGTGAGTTTATTGGCCCACTAGGCCCAATAAATGATTTCTAGTCCAATAGGGGTTTGAAATGGGAAATTAGGGTTTCAAACACACAGTTGAGTATATGAGATGTCTTGAATTAGGTTTTTGAACTTCACGAGTGAGTTTTGATTCAAATGATTGTGTTTGACTGTGCATAGTGCATAATATCAACCTAAAGTTACAATTTATACAAGAGTTGATTACATGTAGACATAATTTCCTAGCCAAGAAATGCTAGTTGTGACATTTTCCGGCCAAACAAATATACTACAACATATTATTTAAAAGTAAACACACACACACACACACACCCTTGTGGCTGGAGGAGGTGGTCGAAGTTGATAGCCACCACCTGATGGTGGTGGTGGTGGTTCTTTTTTGATTCCCGATCACGCAACACACACACACACACCAGCACACACATGCATCCTTGCTCGAGGTATGAACACAACCAACCATCTACTAGCGTATGGCGATGGTAGCAACACGAACAGTGATGACCCACACTGAAACGACGTCCTAACGTTGGTTTTTGTCCTCAGCCACAGTAGGAACAGCGACATCGGAGATAAACCGGTGGTTTCCGGCTTCGACAAAGATGGCGACAGCTGGAAGGTCACAAACGGTGGCAACCACGACGTCACTGGTGCAACGTTATTCCCGGTTTCCCATCGGTCTTTGTTATCACCAGCAATAAGAGCTGCTGGTGGGCATTCGATGGTGCTAAGTGGTCGGAGTTGATAGTGGCGGCTGGAGGTAGGGGAAAGGAGGTGGCGGCTGTATGAAGAATAAGGTTAGAGTTTGGTTTGGAGAAGGTGACGGGTTTATACCCGCTCATATGAAGTCTTTGCTCAAAATACACTTTCATCCCCTCCATGTTAATTCTTTTCAGCTTAAGTACATAATGTAGCATTCAGCCCTCAGCATTCCAAAACCCCTTCAATTTAAGTCTAATATTTTACCAAACACCCCCTGACTTATGAAAATCTTTACAAAATAAATCCCAGAATTACACTTTAACCCTCGAAAATCCAAATTATATCATTTGGCTCCCCGAAACCAACACCCCGCTAAATATTATGGATTTTAGGGCTACTATAAAATAATATAAAATATAGATTTACATCTTGGGGTTTATGGTTTATTATTTAATTACTCAATTTCAAACAGAATGTCACAGTTACATTGGGATTTTATGTTGATGTTTTAAACATTGTTTACTAAATAAAATAATGAAAATTTTGGGCCTTATGTTTGGGACGTTTCAATTTGGTATCAAACCCTTAGTTTGAGGGATTCAGACATACTCTCGGGTATTTCTGAACTCAAACTGAAGGATTGGTAAAAAAATTCAAAAAGAATATTTTTAAAAGAAAAGGGGTTTTCTAATACAAGAAAGGGTGTGGTGCATGCAATCGACCGAGATCAAGTAAATTTTTCCAAAATACCTATACATGTTATCTGTTATGATTGGATCTGTGAATCTGTGAATCACATGTTAGTTAGGGCTAAGGATCTGCTTAATATTTGCGTGATAGAATGCTATGAGAGATTCCTTTGTATGCCTATTATATGAGCTTGCAAACTTGCATGCTATCATTGATTAGTTAGTGATAGGATGACCTGATTAGGTGATGTTTGGTTCGGATTACTTGATGCTCGAATGCTTCTTGCTTTGTACTTTTTAGGAGTTTTCACTAGCTTCAGCTAACTAGTAGTTGAATATGCTAAGTTACAAAATCCCAAATTAATTTTTGACACTAAGTGTCATATTAATTTTTGGGATTTTGTGGACTTAAGTGTCATATTATTAATTAGTATTTAATCAAAAATTAATTTGATATTAATTTTGGGATTAAAGGAACTGATTAATAATGAAGGGACTGTTTTGCAAATCTTTGATAGTTGTGAAACTGGGCTGATGGACTCCTTAATTAGGAGTGGACGAAATCCTAATGGGAGGCGTCATAGATTTCGTCCAAGGCCTACTAGTAAGAGGTCCATGAGCTGCTTAAGCCTTAAGTAGGAAATTATTGTTTCCATCTAAAAACCCTAGCAGCCCACAACTATATAAACCCCTTCATACACTAGGAATTTTGACCTTATGCTTCTTTGAAGAACCGTAGCTAATTTTTTCTAGTGTCTCTCCTCTTATCTTGTTGCATTGGGTGTTTGCGACTCCATTAGAGGTGCAACACTTGGGACACTAAGCTTTCAAGAGTCAATGGTCTTTAAGGTGGTTCTTTTTATTACTATGTAAAAAGTGAGGTAATCTTCTAACCCTATTTTCTTTTTGAATGCTTTGGTGTTCTATTTGCATGTTCAATTAGTGAAAGGCTTAGATCCAAAGCAATTAGAGTTGCAAGATCACATAGGAATGTAGATATGCTCATAACCCATCAGTGGTATCAGAACCTAGAATTTTTTTCAATTAAATAGATGCAATAGTGAACTGTCCAAAAAACTAGAAAATCAATTTTATTGTCTGGAGGATGAACTTGATGAGTTCAAGTATGAACTCGACGAGTTCAGTGCCCAACTCGACGAGTTGACTCGTCTGTTGCCTAATTTTTTGATTTCAGATTAGATTATGATTATGATAGTTGCCATAATTTGTTTTTAAAGCCTAAAATCGAATTTTCTAAAAGATAACATGATATCCTTATCAAAATTGAAAGATTTGGTTAAATTTATGGATTATGATTACCTTCCTAATTTAAATTTAACCTAGTATTTTTAAAAAGTTTTAAAATACACCCTTTGATTTTATAATTTAAAATTCAATTAAATAGTTTTAAGTTTGAAATCTTAAATTTTAGAACCTTGCTATTTTGAATAGCTTAAAAATACACCCTCATGAATTTTATTAAAAACTTAATTAAAAGATAAATTAAAATACAATTAATAAATCCACATATGGTTTAAATTTAATGAGATTAAAAGTTTAATTTATTAAAGGATTAAACCACTTAGTATTATAAAAGTTTAAAATACATCCTTATACTATATAAAATTAAAAGTTTAATTTATATATATATATATATATATATATGTGTGTGTGTGTGTGTGTGTGTGTGTGTAAGATAAGTCAGTCTTACCGTTAGTAGGCCTCATTCATGAAGCTGGTCTATAAAGGGTGTTTAAGGAAGCGGCCTATAAAATGCCACCATTGGGTATCCACTCTTACCCCCGCACTCTTGACTAGTGGAGGGTCGTTAGCCGAACGGGTAGGATAGGGCACTAAACTTCATTGAAAGTATAATGAATTATAAAGTACCTAAACATTTTTATAAATTCTCCATCTTAGTTACTTTAGGAAAATGTGAATTTGATGCTAATCCATGAAATTGCAGATTACACCTTATTGGTTGTTAGTGGAGCATGTGTGGTTAACCGGCACACTAATATGGGACCAGAAATGTTGGCAATGGGTAGCTCGTAAATTATCATTAATCAATGGAGCGTGTATGGTTAATCGACACCTTGATTAGATGATAAATGACATCGAGAGTACCAAGCTAATTTGCATGGTTATTCTCGTCTTATTTGTGATCCTCAGTAACCCAACCACAAATTTGAAGGGCATAATCGAGAATAAATATGCTATTGAAAAGTTCAATGAATCTCAAAAGATCTAGGAATTTCATTTAAAACCTAATTCGTCTAAAATTTCGTTTTCATGGTGGAATTGGTAAATCGTCATTTAACTACCTTCAAATAGTTTTCTATTGGATTGCGACATACCTCTTCCGAATTGTGAATTATTGTGTTATTTGGGTGTTTAACCAAGGATTAAATCAACTAACTTGTATTTCTCCCTTTTGTAGATGTCTAGTTCTAATAAATATGGTCTTCCTCAATCCTTTGGAAAAGGTTTTCCTTCTGAAGATGACCTTCCACGTGTCAATCAAGGTGAAAGATCATTCCCTTCTTCGTGTATTGGTGAAATTGGAAATCATTCTTCGCTTCCTCCACCTCCTCTAGTGATTCTCCCTGACCCACATTTTCGTCGACTTGAAAAGTCCAAGGTTACTCAAGCCCTACTGGTATGTAAACACTCATATGGAAAGTCTGTGTGTGCACACGTCCTCAAGATGAAGTTGCACATTGATAGATTGGGAATGTTGAGTGTCATTTTCCCAAGGAAGCTAGTTGTTGACATGATTCTTCAATCGCTTCCTGAGTCATATAGTCAGTTCCTTAAAGACTATTATATGACAGATTATGACGTGACCCTGTAACATCCCATTTAAAATAGGGTAATTAAAATAATAAATTGGGGACCCTGAGAAATAATAATAATTATTATTATTTTATATCAATCTAGCCCAAAATCAAATAATAATTAGTTTGGAGTTGGTGTCGGGAAACCAAATGACAAGATTTGAATCTCTAGGGGTTAAAGTGTAACTTTGGGACTTAATTTGTAAAGATTTTCATAAGGAAAGGGGTGTTTGGTATTAATTGGATTTAATATGTAAGGATTTATGGAAGCAGGGACTAAAGAGTAAGTTCTGGACCTAAGCTGAAAAGAAATTTTCATGGAGGGACCATTTGGTAAAATATTGGATCAAAGTTGAAAGGATTTTCAGAAGCCAGGGTTTAAATGGTAATTATTGGACTTTGTTTGAAGAGATTGAAATGGGAGGGACCGGTTCTATCATTTTTCTATATGTTTGTATGGAGCCGGGTATTTAACTGTTTGATTGCCCGTCAACAACCCTAACCCTAGACACAATATCGGCCGCTACCCTTATACCTCCCCTTTCCCAGCTATCACCCTCACGATGGACCATCTCCATTGCCGACCTTGTATCCCCATCGTCGGTTACTGCCACCTTGACGAGTTCGATCACCAACCACCGACGTTGCCACCGTGCTGAAGCTGGAACACCATCGTCAACCGCCGACGACAGCAACCACCAGAAACCGTTGCCCTTCCTCTTTTCTTTCTTCTTATCCGTCGTATCTTCTTCTATCCATGTTCGGACATCGTATGTAACCAAGGAAAACTACAGGGACCGACGTTGTAGTCATTAGAGGACCGATCAAGCTGCTGATGATGGGTTTCGTCTTTGTGGATGCTGCCATGCGACTATTCCACCGTAAAGTTGATGCCAACGCCATTGTCGCCGTCAGCCATCGTTGTGGTTCGTGGTCCATGATGAGGTCGATAGTGCGTGTGGTTTCTGTCGAAGGGGAGTCACGAAACACTACCATGACGGTCGGCCATGGTGGTTGTCGTCGATAACGGAGCTGCTGCCGGACTTCTTGTGTTACCATCACCACCAGGTGGGTGGCTGCGTTTATTTCGCAACAGAAGACATGTTAATGTGTATGCATGCGTGTTTTGTTGGCCGGAAATGAAAAAGGACCACAATGGCCGCCAGCCATGGTGGCTGCCATCACCTGTCGCCACAGTGCGACGGTGTGTGTGTGTGTATGTTATGTTACGTGAGTGTGTGTTTGGGTATCTTTGTAAAACTGTCATAGTGTCGGTAATCAATAGAAACTTGTAACCACCACCGTGAGGTGGTGGCTGCCACCTCCTGCCACCACCAGCCGCTGTGTTGGGTAGCGATGTGCTTTGTTTGTGTTTTGGACTCGTTTGGGGATGCTTGGACAAAATTGTGACCAAAGAGACCCTAATGGGCCCAATAAGGCCGAAAGTGACATAAAAGCCCAACCAATGGACTAATAGGCTAGTATTGGGTTAGAAAGCCCTATTTAGGTTTTGGAAAACTTAACCCTAATCATCATTTCATGTGAAAACCCTAATTTCACATGGGCCTTGAGTTAGGCCTTCCTATTGGGCTTTGGTGATTAGACTATTGATGGGCTATCTGAGAACAAGTTAACGGACCATGTGATATTGGGCTTTAGGATAAGGCCCATGTGAGGACTTGCGCCCAATTTGGAAAATTGGGCCTTTATGATTATGTGGTATTGGGCCATGGGAATTGGATTAGAATAATTGGATGGGCCTTAAGGAAAAACCACGTAGAGGTTTGGGCCCAATTTTAAAAATTGGGCCTTATGTTGGGCTTCGGCCTATTATTTAACTTTTTTGGATTTTATAGTGTGAGTTGGACCTTGGGCTTGGAACCCAATTATTACTTGGGTACTGTTTGATGTTGACAGCTTGGGGATCTGTCAACCAGCAGCTGGAGTTTTATCTACGGGACTTCAGCAGTGCCAGGTGAGTTATCCTCACTATACTAAGGGGTCTAAGGCACCAAGGCCAGCCCATTGTATTTGATATCCTAGTAGTTATTGATATGTTGAGTTTGAGTTAGTGATGTATGCCAGTTGATATGCTAGTTGGGTAGATCTGTAGGATTACCTATGATACTGTACGATTATGTGTATGTGCATTAGTTATGTTATATGTCGACATGTTATATGGGGTGGGTTGAGGATGTACTGCTTCGTGCGGTAGCCAACAAACCCTAGAGTATTCCAGATATGAGCTGAGGGTCTGCAAGGCATGCCAGACTCATACTGAGGACTCGGGAGCATTCCAGATATGAGCTGAGGGTCGGGTAGGGCATGCCAGACTCGTACTGTGGGCTTAGTGGCAATCTAGATGTGAGTTGTGGGCCCGGAAGGCAATCCATACTCACACTGTAGGCCTAGGGGTAATCCAGTCTATAAAGTTGTGGACCTATTGCATGCTATTTAGTTTGTTATGTTATGATATTACGGACATGGTTATGTGGACTGTATGTGTATCGATAATTTTTTATTTGGGGGGGGGGGGTAACTCACTAAGCTTCGTGCTTACAGTTTCAGTTTATTGTTTAAGGTGATTCAGATGACTTAGCAAGGCGAAGGTGTGACCGTACACATCCTCATGTTTTGGACTTATGGTTTCTGGGATACTATGATATTAAACTATTTTGAAAACATTTTGTAATAACTAATGGGTTTTAAATTGTTTAAAAAGTTTTAAATTGGCTTGAAGTTTACGGGTGTTACAAGTTGGTATAAGAGCCTTGGTTTGAGTGAATTGGAGGAACACTTGTGTGAATCCAGTCTGAAACTAAGGAAAAGGTTTTCAAAATGATTTTCAAAAAGGTTTCCAAACGATTTTCAAAACAAAAATTCAAAATATAAAAGGATGATGTAGGGTGTACGATCAGCCGAAGCCAGTAAGTAGACCCTAAAATACCATATGGTTATTTGACAAGTGATGTGTTAGAACATCATGCTATTACTCGGCTAGGGATCTTCAGGAATTGCATGATAGAATTGCATGATTACATGATGCCTGCTAGCCTAGGGTTTTACTTACATGAGATTGACATCATTACTGTAGTTGCTTAGTGTATGCATCATGGTTATGCATAATTAAGATCTTACTGCCTGAGAATGTTTGGTTGGGCCTTATGTGCTGCTCTTGTTTGATTGGGAGCTTAGGGTAAGATCAGATATTCGAAAGTCTATAGGGTCTAGCGTTATATATGGCTAGTATACACTAGTGTTGCAGGGTTGGTGGAAGTTTCATGGGTGGGTGGGTTGTGTGAGGCCGATAGGCCATTTATGAGATATTTAGCATTCCTATAGGAGTGAGGATTGAGTGCTCGCTATGTTTATGTATATTGTTAGGGTGTTGTGGTGATACTTGAGACAAATATAGGTAGGTGTGGAAGGTAGTATGGGACCTGTACGGTTGAAAGCACAAGACCCATACGCGTAGTAAGGAAGTCACAACCCCTAGAGTGGGTTGGGAGTTGGTTCCCTGTTAGGATATGGGTTATCAGATATCTTCTTAGTGTATTATCAGAATGATGGTTACGAGACATCTTGAGACCAGATCTGGGTCAGGATCAGGAGTTGGAAGCTAGGATAGGCCAGTATTGTCAAACGATCGTCTCAGTAAGATCATCCGGGAGGAGGTGATTGAGGTTGTTCGGAGATAGGTGCCAGAGATGTTTGGGTCTATCAAGACCGCCATGGTTGAGTATTTCGATGAACTCTTTGCAACCATTGCCTAGACGGTTGTCGCGACAGCTACAACAACTGTAACTGTGGCAGAAGAGGAGTTGGTCGAGCTTTCAGTACCGGGACTTGGTATTTGGATGTATTCTGATGAGCAGAGTGTTGCAGTTACTTGGGGTCGGGGAAATGTTTCATACTCGTTGCACTCCGTGGGTTGAGCGGGAGAAGTTGGTATATGAGTTTCTTGGTTTGAGGCTTCAGGGGATCTTGCTCGAGGCCGAGATTCGAGTCACGGGACTCCAGAAGGGAGTGATGATTATGATCGTTTAGAGTTGTAGCTGGAAGTAGAATGGATAATAGATGGATTGGAGTGTCGTTTTCTAGGGAAAGGATTATGCCCTTCCAGTTTTTCGAGCTCCGAGGAGTGAGCAGGCTTGTGACCCCAGGATCAAGTTGTATTCCAGCCTAGGGTCAGTTAGTTGCAGGGTTGGGCGGCAGTATTTCAGTGCTGGTGAGCACAGGTGGATCGATGCGGCATGAGTATCTTAGAATGCATTCCAATTACCGTTCCGACCCCTAGGAGCTAAGATCTGATTCGTCTTGGATCTCTTGTATCGGGCAGTAAGGATGGGTTGTGCCATCTACTGCACTTTCATGATTTAAGACTATGTATTAGGAGTTGTTGTAGTTAGTTTAGGGCAGAGGTTGCTTCAGCTACTGCAGTTCAGATGAGTATGATTGAGCTAGTGAGTGAGTCAGGGTGCGAGGCCCTGAATGATATCATTTCTAGAGCCCGAGAGCAAGAGATTTGTTTGGAGCACTTTGGGAAGATGGGTATTATATGGGAGGCCTGAGGATAGGGCCCCATAGGATGGGTATTCAACATTGTTAGGATTTAATGGTTGTAGTGATCGTTATCGATTGGTAGATGGAAACGCCAAGGGAAATAGCTTATTGCTGACATACTAGTTGGAGCATTTATCTTTTGGTCTTTAAGATTTGGGTGTGGGATCCTTAAAGCATCAGGGACTATCGGTTAATTTATGTTTCGAATTCACACCAGTGGGTGGTGATTAGTGTTCTAAGTGGGGGAGAATTGGGAATTCTCAGGTTGAGTGTCAGCCATTGAAGGTTTTGTTTGTTGCTGATCAGATTATGGTTTCCAGAATGGTCAGACAGGCGTTAATCAGTGAACCTCTCAGGGATCGGAAATTCTCCAAGGAATTCACTAGGCGACAGTTGAAAAGCTAGGAACGTGTCATTAATTCCATTATGAAGTGTGCTTATGTTCCCTAAGTCATTGGAGTATGTTTCTCCTCGAAGATGTAATAGAAATTTGATTCGTATCGAACTTGGATTTTGGTATCCTTTGGGATAATCGTGGAAGTCTTCTCGGACTAGTTCAGTATTAGTAGAATCGGATCAGTCTTGATCGAGTATGGGCTTGTGGAAGGTAAATATGGAGATAGGAATTCCAATTTTTGTGCATGGTAGTGATTCTCATGTGTATTTGTAGGTATTTAAGGTGGAAATAGGGTTGGTTCGGCTTACGTGCTTGATCAGGTGTGGGTTATAGTCTGCAAAAAATTGGATCAAGAGTTCGACTATCATTCTATTTTAGGGTCATGTGCGACCAAGGTTTGTAGGATTTTTCTTGGATAACAACTTATTCTATAAGTGAATCGTACATGGTGGGGTTTCAGCATCGTGGCGCTAGTTGGTGTTGTGAAGGTCGTTGGTTAGGCCTTTTCTTTTGGACAAGGTAGATAGTTTATCAGGAGCATTCCAATCATGAGCTAAGGGCCACACGGGGAATACCAGACTCATGTTGTAGGATCAGAGGCAGTCCAGACCTATGATGAGGACCTTGTAGGGGTATTCCAGTCATAGGTTGTAGGCTTAGTGATATTAGTAGTTCACTTCTTCTGTTGGAGCACTTTCGGAATGGACACATCTTTGAGGTTCGGGCGAGCTGTAATTGGCTGCGAGGAATCAAAAGATTTGTCCGAGATACAAGGGTAGGTCCTCGAACCTCAAATTATGAGTTTAGACATGAGTTTCATATATAGTGGTATTCTAATATTGGGTATTCCATCCTGAGGATGACCGGACCCAATGATTGATTGGATATGGCATGTTTGGTTTCCAACCTGAGGGTTGATTGGGCCAAACATGTGCAGGATACAAGGGTATTCCGGCCCAAGGATAACTAAGCCCGTCGTAGGCATGCCTGGTTTTCCAGTCCGATACTGATTGGGCCAAGTATGAGTGTCCATTCT